TTCCACATCATTTTAGAATTTATTTTCAAAGGGGAATAGTTTCAATGTTTTTTATTCACTTGGGCTTTTTTTCCCTTCCCTCTTGTTCTTTGAAAAATTGCTTAATATTCAATCTGTTGTGAAGAACCTGATTTGCACTCTGTAGTGTTTAAAGAAAAACTCTAATATTGAAGCTCTTAAATTTAGTGTATGTAAACAGCTTACAATATGTATTGTCTAAATGCATTTAAATCTCTTTTATTCAAAGACAAGCTAAAGCGAAAATATTGGTGTGTGACCCTGCAAGACTGTCATTGCAACAAAGACAACACTAACAGCACATGCTACACTGGACTGCAGTGCTCTCCAGATTATCTGAAAATGCGTTACAGACAACTTGCCTGACTTTTAAATGAGCATAAAAGGCCCTCTAACCTATGCAGGTTTCCTCATTACGCATATAGAAAATGCTAGTGTGTTTTTGCTCACTTCCTATGTAACAGGTGCCCTTATGTTGTGCTGTATCCTGTGCTTTTTCTGTGGGACCATTCCATTCAGGAACAAAGAGCACCATGATTCCAATCTGTGTGTATTTACTAACCCTTCCCTGAGGTTTGTGTATGTTGGATATTGTGGTGTTTTAGATCACTGAGTGTACAGAAGAGAGAATTCAAACAAAATATTGCTGTTCTTCAGTTTTGTTTGTGGAATTTAAAATTACTCAAATTTAAAATAAATTACTGGACTGTGGAAATAACATGTAGAATGGCAGTTTTAATTAAATACTTCTCAAACATAAACTAAACAAACCATGGTTTTGGTAGTTTTATATTGCTCCCAAGGGAACAGGGAGGTACGAGAGCAGGAGAATTAGGGATGGGACATGTGAAACACTATTTCACATCATGTGCATACCTGCTGTGGTTACTAAGGCACATACAGTAGTTTAGAGAACCAGTCAATACCATAGTGAGCTGCATTTCAGCTACCTCCGTCATGTTAACCAAGTGGCAGTTTTAAGTATTAACTAAGCATTTCACTTAAATGAACAGGTCATGTATGTTAAATCATATTAACTTGAAATAAAAGTACAGAAACACATAGTCAATGTGCTGTTCCTCGCCATGAAGTTGTAATGGTCTCCAAATTATGGGTAGTTTAAGGTGAGTTTTTAAAAAGTGTTTGAATCCCACTCTTTGCTGATAGCTAAGAATGTTTCATAAAAGTTCATTTGAGTGTTCATCATCAGTGTTAGAGAGTCTCCTGCCTAGACTTGTATTGCCACAGAAGGTTTTTTTTTTTTAAGAATCTCTTTTCTTTCCCTCATCTTTAATTTCTCTCCCTTATTTTCCCATAGGAAATTATAGTATTAGCTAGAAAATCTTTTCCTTTTTTTTTTTTCATATTTCATATTCAGGCCCTGGCTGTGCTGGGTCTCTGCTCTCTTTCATCGTCATTATCAAAACCAGGAGCTAATGGTTCCGGTGAGCTCATTCTTTTCAGAGTCAACATTTGTTCTAGACCTTCCCCATACTTTTGAGTCAACCAGTTTTTAATGACTGGAATTACTCTTGTCCCTCCCCTTCCCTAATAGAAACAAGGTAAAATACTTCAGTAAAGGTTTTCTTACAGCATGCTTACAAAAAAAGTAAGAACAAGAAAGCCTTGTATTAATCTGGTGCTGTGTCCTGTGATAATGAGTTGCCACTTAAGCCATCTATATAATGGGCTGTAGAAGGAGGAGAAACTGCTGTTGAACTTCTTTAACTTAGGTTCAAACCCTGAGCAAGATGAACTTCTGAGCTTGTCCTCTCACGTGGCTAACAGTATGAGTAGTTGTCAGAATTATTTGCAGGCATATGTTTAAATCACAAAAATGCTTAGATCAAGACTGGATGTTGTACAATAAATAGTAGAATCAATTGGCAATAAGCTATATTTTAAGGTATTTTTCCTAACATTATTCCAAATAGCTTGATAGTCTAGAAAGAATTAAAAACAGTAAGCAAGGATACTAAGAGTCCTTAGCACTGTAAATGTAACTGAAACAATGAAGAGGAAGAGGAGACATTACTGGGACACTCTTCAGAAGGCCTTTGTACATAAAAACCTGTGGTGATTGTTGACAACCATTTCAATACAGACAGTACAATAGCAAGAGGCCATCTGGGGCTTTCCAGGTAGGGCTGCCTGACTCTCCTGGGATTGATTAGTTGTGCGGACATTCTCACCCCAGTGGTCCTCACACTTTTTCTTAGGGTCCTTTTTTACTGTTAAATTGCTGAAGAGCTTTATTTAGTTTTATGTGAGGTTGTATCTATTGATATTTACTGGTAGCTAAAATAATTTTAAAGTTATTAACTCATTTAAATGTAACAGTAATGAACTCATTCTGTGTTAACAAAGAATTATGAATTAACCATATAAATCTCTTCAAAGTTTGTCTTAACAGAAGACTGCTGGATTCTCATCTCCTATATTCAGTCTGTTATATGTTGTTTTTGTTGAAGTATATGGAAATGTGGCCTCATAATAGAACTGTAATTAGGAAAGAATTTTAATAGTCTTTTTAGGTTATTGGAATTAGTTGAAATGTGGAATCTGAAACCATAAAAGTGAAACTTTTATACTGTTATATTAAAATGCACTGGTCTATCTTTACTTTGAATGGATCTTTTACCCATGCATGATTTGTACTTTCATGCATTGGTTATGTGGAAAATACTGATTTACTAAGTTATAATGTGTCAACTACATAAATTTTAAAATTGCATTTTTGAGAAACACTGATCTTTTCAGAAAAGTTTTAAGTTCTGGAGGAGCTTGGAAGAGAGGCAGATACAATTCTCCTAAATATTGACAGTTGTTCTCTATGAGGAAGTTACAGCCAAACACTCAGCTCTGGTTACCGTATGTTCGGACTATAAGATGCACCCCCCATCCCATTTGGGAGGAATAATGGTTGTTAATGCTGCTGTTGAATTCCATTTACATTTATATTGGTGAAATATTATGTTGTTTCTGTTATTAAATATTTTACCACTTTTTTGCTTCAAATTTTTTTTCCTATTTTCCTCTAAAACCTTGGTGCTTCTTATGGTCCGAAAAAATACGGGTAACTAGTTTCTCAGTGGTTCTTGCTGCAAAAATGTTCCATGACAAAAGCAGCTAGTTCATCTGTCCACTCAGCCTCCTAAGTCTTTTTCTCATACTTTGGTGAGCACCCAAAGTGTTCATTAATGTTATAGTCAAGGGTCAAATTTAATAATGTTACTGCTTCCCCAAGGACATTAAGTGAAACTATTTTTTAACTGTGGGTGAAGAGCAGTGAAAACCACTTGTGCAGGTAGGTGCCCCTGCATTTGTGAAGGATGCCAGCATTTTTACCCACCACTTCTTTTGTGTCAGCATGGTGAAAAAGAAAAATAATGTCTTAATATTATGAAAATAGTTTTGACCTCCCGAAAGTGTCTTAGAGAACCCATGAGGTCTTGCCTGTACTTCAAGAACTTTAAGATTACAAATCCTATAAAATAATTGTAAGTACAAGTGAACTGGAAAACGGTGTATTTCCAGAATCAGAATTTGTATACTGTTCCACCTAGTAGATGTGTCACAACTTATTACAATAATTTGAATCAGCCACAGCAGGCCATTCTGTGGGGAATGCACTGTTCTTTCAACATGAACCATCAGTCTCTGAGGCAAGCCTCAGAAATTACCTGAGCCAGAATCATGCATTTAGGATTGAGTTCCCTTGAACTCAGTTGCATGCCATTGCATCACTTTTGAATCTAGTACTATAAACATTCTCTTTAGAAACAGTTGCTACTGTGGCATCATTCACAGTTAAAATTTCTCCTGTGCTGTCATGGGCCAGTGTGAGTGGTAGAAAAATGACCAAATATTAGAATGTTTAAGACTGGCTGCAGTAGTCCTTAGAGTTATGCCTGCACACTCCACTGAACTGAGACCTTAGTTGTGCTATTGTGCTGCTTATGTTGAAGTTAACTGCTAACTAATGCTAACTGTTGAAGTTAACCATGGAGAGGTGGAGCCACTCACATGTGCCTGTTACCAGATTCTCCCTGGCATCATCACAGTTCTCAGGGATATATATACTATGAGGGTCCCCCTAAAAGGCTTTCAGGAGAAGTGGTTTTCTGTAATAGACGCAAAAAGGTGGGAGGCTATGTAGCTTGGGGAGGTGGGACCTCCTTTATATTCTGGGCAGCTGGTAAATATGTGTGGGTTTTTATTGGAATTATGTCATGCTAAATGTACAAAGATCAAAAGGCAAATAAAGGTGCCCTAATTAACTGAATTACCTAAGTTCCTGAAGTTGTAGGGAAACTAGGATGTTGGGATGACATACCACTTCACAATGGCCATAAATTCCTACATGTGCCCATTACCACCTTCAAGGTCCATACAAGTCACTTCACAAGTTTCAGTGCCTTCGTGTTAGGGAAGGGAAAGTAAAGCAAGTTTTTTAGGCTATGATGTAGAACCACTGCTAAGAACCTTTGGCCACTGTGAGGGAAATGAACATGAAACACTGCACAGGTGAGTTATGTCAATGCTATTAAACCTCAACTTTGAGACATAAATTTAAAAACCCAATGGGTTAGATTCAGAACATTTTGTGGGTAGCTATACCATCTATTAATAAAGTAGCCTCTGCACCACCCAAAACGTTACGGTAGTGCAAACAAACTGCGGTGGGACCACCCTCGAAGCGCTGGTCCTCTCCAAGGGTGACAGCAACACAGTCTTGGGGAAGAAGAGCTATTAACATGCAGAGGGACCTAACCATGCATAGGAGACGTTGTTCCCCTCTTGCAACCCAATTTTGTCATGACCTGTTTTCTTTTTTAAATATTCTTGTTTCAGGACTTACACCACCAGGACAATTTAACCCAACCTTTTGTTTTTTGTTTTTTAGCCCAAGATAACTGTGTAACTGTGCCAAGTACATGACAGAAGAACACGAACAGATTTTCACCTCAAGAATACTTAAATTGGGGACAGAAATTCAGCTTTTATTGTTAGAATTTGACAGTTTCAGACACTTGTGGGGGGACAATCATCATACAAAATTCCACCTAGTAAAGTTTTAGGTGACCAGTGACTTTGTCAATTAGGTCTGCTGGTCCTGGCCCAATTCCTAGGACAGTTTGAGAGCCCGGTGCAATCTGAGTACGTCCAGCATCTTGGATTAAACTTACAGTCAGTCCCAGCATCTTCGCGTGGGTCAACAAGGCGATCAGAGTTTCTTCATCAGGGGCTTTGACCACCACTTTGGGCTGGCCACAGTATTCCCACTGTCTGAGCAATTCAGGGTTTCTCCTTTGAATTTTCTTGTAGGCAGAAACGGCAGCGTGAGAGCACTGAGCAGCCACTTTCCCTTTTCCCATCTTTAAGTCATTTCGAACCACAAGAATCATTTTGTATTCCCCACTCTCTCCTAAGATGCTTGCTTCAGTTCTGGTCTCTGTGTCTGTCTCATTCACTGAGCTTTTGGGGACCGTCCCAAAGTGTACTCGGAGGCCCCAGCCCAGGCACATGCCACATGCTATTCCAGCAGCCAAGCTGAGTGTACCAGGATGAGCCAGATATTCCATAACCAAGGATTTGGAGAGCATCCTAAAGGAAAGGAAAACGGTTATCACTATGTAGCAGTGAAAAGTTATAGGCTTATCAGGTAAAACACCTCAACAATATGTAAAATAGGCCCTGGCCAGTGTAGCTCTGTTGGGTGTCATCCTGCAAAGCAAAAGGTGGCCAGTTCGATTCCCAGTCAGGACACAAGCTTGGGTTACAGGTTGGGTCCCCAGGTGGGGGGAAAGAAAGAGGCAACCGACCACTTTCCCTAGTGCTGATGATTCTTTCCTTCCTCCCTTCCCTCCTCCCTAGGATCAATTACAAAACAAAACAAAACAAAAAAACTGAGGTCATCCAGAAAAAAAGCAAAATATATTTTGGATCTTATGGGTGTGCCACTTTTTCAGTGCACTAGAAAAAATTCAAGAAGACAGATGAAACAGTTTAGGTCATTTTGAATCTCAATGAGAGGAATATCTCTTGTTCTTGGACATAGCAAAGCTCTGTTCCTCAGTCTCTTGCTTTTGTGGAACAAGGACATACTCTGTTTCACCAGGATGCCCAAAGGGTCTAAATAAAAGAATAACTCCTCCACCCCCTTTTCTGGAATATAGTGTGTATTTAATTCTGTCCTCATAATGCAACGGTTCTCTAGGGAATGGGAGCAGCTCCTTGGAGAAGTTCCTGCTTGTCTGTAGAATGGACGTGGAGTGAGAGGTGTCTTGCTGACATTAGACCTGAGCATGGAATGAGAACAGCCTTACAAGTGAAGATTTGACCCACTGGGCATTACTATAGGTGCAAAACTACTAATGTGTGAGACTAGACTCTAATTGCATTTTACGTATGAACACAAAAGTATTTTTTGGATAGTTTTAATATACACTAAATTTACCAGAAGTATATAAAATAAAGGAAGATCATCCTTTAGGAATTCTTGCTTCCCCAGCAAAGCTGTTCATGGTATTTGAGTCACCAATAAAATGTAGTCTACATTGAAGGCTGTTGGGTTTATATGACACTGTGGTACAAGTCCTGGAAATACACACCTTATATCATTATAAAGTTTCTTTTTATTCTCATTTATGTTAAAATTAGGATGCATTAATGCTTTCTTAAAGTTATATGGTAGGTTACACAGTATTATCAAATACTTTAGTATGAACATAGTAGTACAGGGGAAGGGGATGTTAAACTTCATGATATAATTCACATATTATAAAAGCCACACTTTAACATGTACAGTTCAGTGGTTTTAATATGCCCACAAGACTGTGCAACCACCACCACCACTATTTAATTCCAGAACATTGTCACTGCTCTGGAGAAACCACTGTACTCACGAGTACAGCCTCTGGCAACCACTACTCTACTTTATTAATTTGCCTATTCTGGGCATTCATGTAAATCAAACCATACAATATGTGGCCTTTTATTTCAGCCTTCTATCATGTAGTGTAATGTTTTCAAGGTTCGTTCATTTTGTAGCATGCATCACTACTTCATTCCTTTTTATTGATGAGTAATATTCTGTGGTATGAGTATACCACAATCTATCCATCAGTCGATGGACATTTGGGTTTTCCCCACCTTTTGGCTATGAGTACAAGTTTTTCTGTGGATATATGTTTTCATATCTCTTAGGTTTATATCTAAGAGTCAAATTGCTGGGTCATATAGCAACTTTGTAACTTTTTGAGGAACTGCCAAACTACATGCTAAAGTGCACCCTTTTTCACTCATTACAGATGACTCTTTTAAAAGTACATGTTGGGTTTGATAGTGTTAAGAACCACTGCTCTAGTGCCTTTTAACTCATCTCTAGTTCAGAAACAAGGAAAACAATGCCTTTGCAAATAGATCTTCATATTAAGTCAAGGCTGTCTCCAGACCTCAAAGGACTGGGAGAATTAAAAATGAGGTAAGCTGGGTCAACAGACCTTCAGTGTTTGTTAAAATGGATTACACTCAATATCTGAAGAAAAAGGAAGAATTGTTTATAAATGTATCTCAAAATCATAAAAGTATAATTTAACACATACTGCTGTATTATATCCTGGTTTTCAAAGGCTGTATCTAAATCATAGGTACAGTATTAAAAACTGTGGGGAACCCAATATCCCAGCACTTGCAATCTCAAATTCAAACCTTGCCCTTCCCAGAACAATACTAAGTTCCCCAAAATTGCTACTTAATATTATAAAACCTGTAACTATTTCACTTCCTGGGAGTCCTTAGAATCCTTTACTATTCAGACACTTTCTGAAATACCTACCAAAAAATCCTCTGCATTTTATAGTAGTTCACTCATCCCTTTCTCTAGTGGTAATCCTTTCTGGAGCTACCTTCTTAAATGCTCAGCTTTACAGATACAGAAAGCAGGAAGACCAGGACAATGGTGAGGAACTAATGTGGAGTTGTGGGGGGCAGAGACTAGTCTGAAGTGGCATCAAGAAATAGAAAAAAAAGTGAAAGAGCAGGGGGGAAAAGCAATAGAAGGGGGTATGGAGAAAAGGAAAGATGAGCATATTTAAAGGTTGAGCATACTTAAATGTCAATGAATAGAGCTAGAAGAAAGGTAGTAGGTAAGTAGATGCTCAGGATAGAGAAACAACAATACAAAGTAGTAGGGGAGAGAGGACCTAAAAGGGACCTAAATTTATTCATTTTTCAGAGAAGGGAAGGGAGAGGCAGAACACTGATTTGTTGTTTCATTTTTTATGCATTCATTGGTTGATTCTTTGTGCCCTGACCAGGCATATGGGATGATGCTACCTGGCCAGGGGTCAATGTGACAGTTTCAGATGCAAGCACATCTGTGGGATTGGAGGCAGAAAGTTGTTCCTTGGAGGGAGGGAGGGAGGCTGTACAAACAAAACTCAAGCTGGAGTTCAGAAGAGGAAGACTAAAGTTGCAGCAAAACACAATAGGATTGCAAAGTCATGTAAAAGCAAGGTTAAGATTAATAATGTTTTACAATGGTATCACACTGACCAGTTGTGTTAAAATTAATACTAACATCTTTGTTCTAATCTTGTATCAGCCCGATCAGATTAGCATCTAACTCCACTACAGGGTGTTTCAGCCTGTTTCCTTTTCTGGATATCTACTATAAAAATATCAACAAACCCAGTTCTTGAAACCAAGGTAGAAATAACTAGTCTTACAGATAATCCTGGACAATGAGGGCTTCACAGAACAAGCCTGTCCTCTAAAACCCTCCGTGGTGCCTTCTAATTCTTCTGCCAGACTTCCCCCCTTTCACCCATGCTCTTGATCCCGTTAGGTCCTGAGCCCTGAGCCCTGAGCCATGCTCGTCCACTAAGCTGATTACATTGGCTACTGCCCCTTGGCATTTTCCAACCTAAAAAACCTTTCCTCTTGGACCTTAAACCAATGCCTCACTTTTCCTCTTCCACTGACCTCTAAATTTCCTCAACTTCCTGCCTCCCTTCCCCACTCAATTGAAATTGCTAAGGAATCAGACACTTGCTGTCATATAGTTGCCTTCTAAGCCTCATCTTGAGTTTTCTGCATCACTCATAACTTTTCTTTGAACTTTCCTCCCTTGAATTCTTTAACCCCATTTTCACCCCATTACCACCCTACCTTTCTGAGAGCTTTTCTCCAGATTCCTCCCCTGGGTCTCCGCTGTTTTGCCCTGAGGTATGTGCTGTATTTGGCTCTCTTTTCGGTCTATACCTACATTTTCCAATATAGTAGCCATTAGCCAAATGTAGTTATTTAAATTTAAATTAATTAAAACTAAATAAAAAGTTCTTCAGTTGCACTTAGTCACATTTCAAGTGCTCAGTAACTCCACAACTTAAAAATGGTGAGGACCCACTCTATCAGATAAAAATACGGAACATTTCCCTGACCACAGAAAGTTCCATCGGACAGTGCTGGCTTATATACTCTTTCCGTTCAATCAGTGGTTATCGAGGGCCTGTTGTGCACCAGGCACTGTTCTGGACTCTGGAGCTGGAGCCCGGAGCAAAACAAAGTCCTACTCTTCAGGGAACTAACATTCCAGTCGAAGGAGACAGACCATAAACAGTTAGTCAGATGAACAGTCTCACTTATTCCCAAATCATCATGTCTGAGGATTCCTAAAGTCTCTCTTGGGCTCCAAACTCGACTTTCCAGCTTCTGCTAGATTTCACCCCTTAGATGTCCATGAAATACTCCAAACGGGGCCCTAAACTGAACTTAGTATCTTCCCTTCCCTTCCAAATTTTCTTTTTCCTGTATTCTTGACTTCTGAGTAACTCTGGACTTTCCCATTTAGTCCTACCACCCAGTCACCAAAACTTGTTGAATGTATCTGTCTTAAACCATCTCCTTGTCTCTCCTAGCAGAGCTCTAAATATCTCCAAAATTAACTTCACTACCTCTCATCTTTCCACATTTGCTTCACTCATGCCCTGGTTCATTCTAGTCCATCTGCCATTATAATTATACTTCTGTAACACGAATTTGATTCTCTAATTTCCCTGCTCAAAAATTATTAGATAAACGCCTAAAGAATAAAACATAAATCCTTTTGCACGAATTTTCAGCACCACACAGTTTGGTTATAATCTTCTTTATCCTTCCAGCCTATACTCCTGCTACATCCTGTACTCTCCAGACACAACAAATTACTAGGTCCTTTGATGCAGCAATCTTTCCTTGCAATTATTTTTTATTTAAACATAAACACAATAACACACACACAAACACACTTAAAGACACAAACACACACAAAAAACATCCTCTTCACCGGTGAAGGCAAAGTTCAAATGGCTGTCTCTGGAATCTTTCACTGTACCCCAGTATTAACTATTTATTCTTCAGAGCTGCTGTGGCACTTAAACATAACCACTATGGGTCATATCTCAGCATCTAGTACACTGCCTGGGGTACTGCAGTAAAGAATCAAATACTTTTCTAGTATTTGACACGCTGCGGGTATTCAATAAATACTCAGCAGAGGTGAGGCCTGCTTGGTATTTTCTCACGATCGGGGCGAGCACATCGATGCTGCCTGAATGGAGGCTTTGTCTGGGAACTGAAAATTCTGGGTCCTTCCACTCCCCAGCATCTTGGTCCCTTCCAAAGGACGGCTGGTAGAACAAACACAGGACTCCGGCGACCACTGGGCGGAAAACAATTTACGAAGATGAAGGGGTGGGAATGCGGGGGTTTGCAGAAAGAGGTGGGAAGAAACAACCCAACTGGAGAGAGAAAGAACGACATCTTTATCTCTCGCCCTGTGAGAGACACAAGGCCGACTTACCTACAGCACGTCCCCTCAACTCACCGGCGTCTTTAGGTTCTTCGGTTCTGAGTAGCGAACACGCTTCCAGCGCGCGGACTACCGTTTCCGTAGTTCCTTGACAAGTTCCGGATCGAGAACTGCTAAGAGAACAGTCATTCTTCCTCTCGCCCCGCCCACAGGTCCCAAATCGAAATACCGCGACCGTCAGCCGAGGTTGCCGAAAGGAGGTGGGAACGTTTCTCTTCAGGAGGCATGCTCCCGGGGGAACATGGACCGGAAGTGACGTACCAGTTCCGGTTGGCCGGAGCCCCGCGGCGGGTGTGAGAGTCGGTCAGGTGCTGCTTCCAGGATCCTGAGATCCGGAGAAGCCGGAGTCGGAGCGGATAGGTAAACGAGCGCGGGGAATTGGGGAAGGAAGCCTGACACTGTCCTCAGAGCTTGGCCTCTTCTTGAGCTCTCCCACTTAGACCGTGCAGATCTGGGGCACCGTGATTTCGACTTCAAGCAGTGTTTTCGGGTGCTGCGGACTCTGGAAGTCTCAGTCTGGCGGTAGCCAGGTTATTTGGGACACCTCTTCCTGGCTGGCCTCCGGTTCGCTGAACCCATACTTTAGACTCCCGACGTTTTGATCTGAGAGCCACTGATTTGGAACCTGTTCTGAGCTTCTGTAGAGAAGCTATATCTTCTCTTCCCTCTCAGGTGTGTAGGACCTGAGAGTAAGTGGAGATCTTCCCTGCTGATGACCTAGCTGTTTCTCAGGATCTGTCAGTTTGGATTCTTGACTTCCCCAAACACTAGCGCCCGACGCTAAATAGACGCACTTCTGAACAAAATTCAGATATGTAAGTTCCTTCTGAAGCGTTGGTGGCAAAGGGAGTGGGGCCTTCGCTCTGGGGATGGCTTGCAGAGGACCTTCACACATCTCCCACTACTTTCATGAAAAGTAGAGTTCTCTACCTTTTCCAAATCCCTTGCCACTCTTATCCCTGTACTTCATCACAGTGGAGGTATTTGCCGTCCAACGTGAAGGTCGGCTTAATCGCAAATTCCGAGAAGCCATTTGTGGTCTTGTGTCACACTGCTAAGATTCCTTAGGACCTCCAGTAGGTTTTACATTATCTTTTGTTTTCCTGTAAATTCATTAGAAAATCTCATAATGTATAGGCTCTGGCACTGTTCATACCTATTTTGGCAACAAAGATCCTTTTCCTAACTTTAATGTCTTTCATTTCTCCTTTGGGGCTTGTCAGAAATTTTGCAGACATATTGCACTGATCTTTTGGGGAAGCTTGTACAAGTATTTCCAGTGTTGTCATGATAGAGAATTGAGTGTTCCAACTGCTGCCTATTAGTTGTATCATTAGTTCTGATTTTGGTTGTATATTAGCATAAATGATGGTAGAGAAACTATTATTTACTAGGCAACATTTTGTGCATTCTAGGTTGGGTTTTTCTTTTTTTTTTTTTGACCTTTGGAAGATGGGTGCTTGGTATCCAGACAAATGTAGTCAGTTTGTGTAGTTGTGAAATGACTCCACACTAGAAATCTTTCATCTTTTACTTGTTTGCCTATATTATTTTTAAACATTGAAGATTTTCTTTTACTCTGAGGATATATCCTATTTGATTAATATACTTTCGTTTCTGTGATGCTCATTCCAGAATAACCAAGTTTCTGAAATACTTAAGTAAGTGCCTTTTAATAGTTCACTTATAGCTAGTTTCATCAGTTTGTTGTTTAATTTACATATTTTTCTTATTTTTTATTTAGAAAAAAATTTCACACTTGCCTGAAATGTGGTGACAAGATTTTTGAGATGAAGAATTATATAAATTAAAGGTTATGATTAGTTTCAATATCTGGTAAATTTACTTATTGGACTATAACTGCCAAACCTGATGTTATATTCTTTTTGTTCAATTTCAGTTATCCAGGAACTGATTATCCAAATTTTGTCACTTTTCACCTTCTTCCTGCCTTGGCTTGAATAACCACTTTTTAGGATTGCTAAAGACTTTCAATCAGAAAACCTGGATTGAAGTCTGGGCCCCAGCATTTGTTGAGTGAAGGGTTATAGGTTGCCTAACTTTATGATCTGGTCTGGATTGTATTGATAAAAGGACTGCTCACTTTATTTCACAGGTTTGTCCCAGCGATTGAGATAGTAAATGTGGTGTCTCTGTATGAATGAAAATATGGTGATGTTGTCATTTTACTCTGAACTCTGGACATGTATCAGTGCAGCATACTATTGCTTTGTGTCATTTCAAAGTTTGATGTTTTATATCAAGTGTGCTATCTATCTGAAAATATTATATGCTTTACTGAGATGATCTTTGCCCTATTTTTGAAAAGCTAGCCAGGAATAGTTTGGTCGTGTAATACCATTGACTTAGTCACCTTGATTAGTAAGTAGATGACTGGAAAATGATTATAGCTTTGCGTTTGAGAGTTTTAAGGCTGATCTTTTTTGGTCATTATGTATTATCACTTAAGAATTTACAAGTGCAGAGGAAGCTGAAGCTTTCGGTGCTTGCATATAGTTAAGTAAAGGTTAGAAGTAGCCTTACTCATGTTAAGTAAGATATTTTATCATTTCACTGAAACCTACTGAATGCAGTATTTAGAAGTAGAAGCAACCTCTCTTAACATATATTTAAATTCTTCTCATTTAATGGGAAAAATTTGAGGCCCACAAACAATCAGTAATTGGCTTGCTTGAGGCCATATGGCTTAGTTAATGCCAGAACCTGAACTGGAAAAGAGATCCCAGATGTTCTTTCTGTTCTGCTAAGTTGTCTCCAGTCATCTTTATATGGTTTGGTTATATTTGCTGGTTTGCATTAAAATGATTTATCTTATGTATAAAGAAATCTGTATGTGTCTATACATCTTTCCTCCTTTTAGCTGATTGAGTCTTGTAAATTCTGTGAAAACAAAAACACCGTGCTTGGCAAGATCTGCAGTGGAATGTTCTACGGAAAGAAAATGAGTTCTGTTCTTCAGAACAGTTATTCCAAGTTCATGCTTTGTTACTATCAGGTATCGAGGTGTCTTCTTTCTGGCAAGTGGAAAAGACATAGGATCTTTGTAAAGCGTCTCACTGAGTGAATGTTGTTGCTAATAAGTATGATGAAACCGCATTAATTACTTCGCTCCTGCTAAAAAATTTCTCCAAGCTGTTTATAATCCCATCATTCTCTTATGTTAATTATCTCTTAATCTGTGGAGTCATTTCTGTAATTATTTCATTCTGGATAAATAGACAATGTAGAAGAGTCAATGCTTTGATTTCTTGGGAACTCTTTTTGCTTCCATTGATTTTACAAAACCTGTTTATTCTCTCCCCGTCCTTGGAGATTGTAGTGCCAGGTACTTATTATCACTGCTCTTTTGCCCACACCCTCTTTTTTGGTCTCTTTCTCTGGCTCTCTCTGTCTTGGGTATGGAAAAAAACTCCAGATTAGAGAATCCTGACTAACCTTCAAAACAAACTAGATGAATGGAAGTGATAACTTGTTTGTTATTGTGTTAGTTAATGCTGTACTTTCACAAAGACTTGTAAATATTTGCGGGGTAAACCTTTAAGGAGTTAATTGCTTCAGGAAACTTTTTGTTTTGCCTGGAAAGCACCTTTGTGTAGAGTGAACTGATATTATGTATTATGTAAAGCCTTACACAAAGCTCATTTTAAAATATCCTTCTTGAAGGTTTTGGAAATTTGAATAGGTGATACTTTTCTGTGTCACGTAAAAGATGCCACTTGATTCTTAAGGCATTTTTAAATTAAGCACGAGTAACCTATTGAGTAATCCTATCCCAGTTGGTGTAACTATAATTGCTATAGAGTTTGCTAGTAGTATTCCAGAAATACATATTTTTTTTAGTAAATATTTTGATGTTTCTCTTTTTCTTGAGGTTCATTAGTAATAATAACCTTGGTCTTTACAAATTTTTCTGAATGGACTGGGTAGGTGGTGATAAGAGTCAAGGCTATGAAGCTAAATTGCCTTGGTTCAAATTCCAGCCCTACTTCTGTGAAACCCTTGGGCTCGTTACTTCACCTCTTGCTGTATCGATTTCCTCCTTGACAGTGTAGTCAGTACCTTTATTGTTAGGGTTAAATGAGCAGATTCACAGAAAGCATTTAGAATAGTGCCTGACAGCCATGACTGTCATCTTCATCTTCCTGTGGCCTGCTAAGCAGTTGCAAAGAGCTCTTTCCCCTCTTTTGCAAGCACATCTTTATTATGCTGCTTACTTGATTATTGTTTGCTTATTAATGAAATCTCAGTAAATAGATGTATTTATATACACAGTTTTATTTTGTAAATTTTTACTCGTGGGATTCTTAACAAAATGAGGCATTCTTATAGGTCATTTTTCTTAACCCTTTTGGATTATTGTTAACAGTTCATACTGTAAGGGTTCAGAATAGTCTCCCCAAGGTGTGCTTTCGTGGCATGCAGATTATTTTGAGACCCTGCAGGATAGAGAAACTTCTGCCTCCCCTCCCCCAACTACCTAGAAGAATTTGAATTAGAGGCCTTGCCTACCATAAGAGATTATCAGAAATAACCTCTTTTGACCTATCTATATGGCAGGGCAAACTACTGATTACTATCTGCTCTAAGTCTTGCAGTGACTCTCAAGCCCAAAGGTGCCTTCATTCTAAACTCAGGATGTCTTTTGCACCTCATTTTCCCTTTCTGTCTCTGAATCTCTTGTGTATGTGGGGACTCTGACTCTCTGATGTAGATGGGCTTCCCATTGGCACGAAATTAAATTTTATTTTCTCTTGTCAATCTATCTCATACTGATTTTATTATTCAACCAGCCAAAAAGAACCAGAGAAAGGAAGAATTTTTCCCTTTCCCTACAAGATTATCTGTGTAGTGAGCCATAACATAGAATTTGGGAATTAAACTTTGGGGATTTGCTGTTTAGGGATGTCTTCTAGCACTTACTTTCTTTGCGTGGAAAGATTATTTTGCATTGACATCTGCTCATCCAGTCACTGAACAAAATACCTATAGCTCAGGTTCTGGGGAAAACAGTGGGAAACAAAGATAAACATATTTTAGTCAGAAACCTGATAGAGAAGAACATAAACACTGTGTAACACATGTTACAAAGTAAACAACAAAGGGTCTGAGGGAGAATTAATGTGGATACCTGCCTGTTGGAGACTCTAGCACAGCACACCTGTAACACTGTGGTATGAGGTTAGATAGGAAACATATGTATGGTCCGGGTTATGTGGAGCTCTGCAGGCTATGTAAATAAGTTTGGATTTGATCTGAATGCAGTAAGAAGTCATTCTACAATTTCAAGTAGGGAGAAATATGATTTATATGAAGTTCACTCTTGCTTGTATGTGAAGGAT